TTTTCTTGAATGATCTCATGGAAAATTTGTTCCAGTGTGGTCTCTGTCTCTCTTTCTGCCTCAGCAAGGCCAATTACTCTTAGGTTCTGTCTCCTGAAGTAATCGCTCATCTCTTGAAGGTTTTTTTCTGTCTTTTTGAGCTTGGTTTCTGTGTTTTCGCGAGTTTGGGTTAGTTCTATATTTTGGTCCTCAAACTCTGAGATTCTTTCTTCTGCTTGGATAATTCTGCTTTCCATGCTTATCAGTTTGTTATTTATTTCATTCACAGTATTCTTTATTACGGTTATCTCAAATATCAGTTCCTTTCTAGTTTCTTCTTGAGTCTCCTCAATTCTTTTTAATCTCTCCATTAATGTCTTGATATCTAGGTTTGTAGTTTGAGACCAGTCATTCTGGGGGCTCTTCATTGTTTGCATTCCGAAGTCAGTTTTCTCAGTGTCTGCCCTCTCAGGAGTCTGGGAGAGACCCATATTCTTCTTTTGGTGTTTCTTCATTTGTGTAGATTTTTCTCTCATCCCTTAGTGGCTAAATTCCCTTGAGCTCTAATCTCCAGCCTCTCCCCTTTGTTTTTGTTGCAGACAGCTAGCCTACTGCCTGGGAGATCTGTGACTTGTCTCTGTTCAGTGTAGGGGAGGAGCTTTGTCTCCTGTTTAATGGCGTCACCATGGGAACTGAGGTGGAGGCTCTGATAGGTGGGCGGAGCAATGAAAATCTGCCTTGAAAATGGTGGAGGTGGTAGTTTTACTTTCACTTTTAGGGATGCTCATGTGGGTCTCTAGGTGGGACCAGCTGCACAGCTGGGCGCTGGATCTGGGATGCCACCAGTAGGCTAGGGTGGAGGAGAGGGTCCGGGGTTCCCTCCTCTGGAGCTGGAAGCCTCCGATCAGCACCTTACACAAGCTCCCTTACACTAGCTTGCGGTCGCACGCTGAGTGCCTCAGCCAGGGTGGGCCCGGGGCTCCCGATCTCCAAAGCTCCAGAGGGCTGGTGGTGGCTCTGGGTCCCTCACAGGGCACTTCAGCCAGAAATGGGAATGGTATCTCTGAGGGACGAGCACCCAGAGCCTCCCTAGGTGACCGGCAGCTTGGTGCTGGGTGCTGGTTGTGACAATGTAACCAGGGAGGTGCTGGGATCCAGGATTTGGGATTCCCCAGCTGACTGGAGTTACATATAGTGGAGCAGACGCAGCCGGGCTGCAATATCTGGCCCTGTGTGGGACCAAAGGTCCCCAGGCCTCGTATCAGTGTGGCTGGGGGTGGGCAGGGGCCTGCAAGAAGAAAAGTAAGAGTTTTTTTGGGAACTCACGTTCGGAGAGTCTCACGGATCCACCTATGCCATCGCCATCTTCAGGAGTCTCCAAAAGAATGCATTTGAAAATTTAAAAAAAAATCCTTGTAAAGAACTCATGGGTCAAAGAAGAAATCATAAAAGTCAGAAAAAAATCAGGAGAAATTTCTTAATTGATGAAGTTTATTGATTGAAAATAAATAAGATAAAACGATAAAGCTTTAGAAAAAGCCATAAGTACTTTGGAAGACTCAGGCCAACCTAAGAATCAGTATCAAAACAAGCCTTCAGAACAGCAGCTGAATCCTGCAGAGTTGTGTGACAGGTGGAACTAGACATTCTGTGGGCACCACATTTGTGTTCCTTCTGCAGCCAGGTGGTGGAGTATCGCTGGCTCCTCCCAGCATTGTGGAGGTGATGGCCATAACTTGGCTCCTGTGGTCTGGATTCACACAAACATTCTTAAAACTGTTCCTGTACCATGAGCAGAAGAAAGGCAATCAAAATCAAATGTGTAGCAGACATTTTGACTGCCTAGATGAAATACTAATTAAAACTACTTCACCTCCAGCAGCTAGAGATGTAATGGCATATTTGGGCAGTGGTCTTTCCGCCTATTGTACAGAGACCCCAGTAGCAAGAGGGGGCTACCAGGGGAATGGGCTGAACAGACAGTCTCTTGGAATGATGGGGTACGAAAGCTGTGTGCCCAGTGTGATCAGAACTGTGCAGGTTATACTTGTCATAACCAGAGCCACTTGTTGGTCTGGTGGATTGTTTTTTGAGTCTTATTTAACTGTCCTTTCTCTAACAATGGGTTGTCTTTTTTTCTGAATTGACTAGTTATACAACTAAATTGGCCCATGCTGCTAAAGTGTCACACCTTATAGTACCATCACTCACCTAAAATATTTTTAAGTTTTTACTATTTTCTTAATGTTATGAGCAGTGTATAATCGTTGTAGAAAATAAAAAGAAGAAACACAAAATAAGCCAAAAGAAAAAAATCTGGTATCCCATTCCCCAGTATAACCACAATTAATGTTCAGGAAATATACTTGCAGATATATATCTCAAACAAATATACATATAGACATATATTTCTGCAAAAATAGTGTCATACCACACATAATTTTTTATAAACTGCTTGTCTCACTAAGTCTGTGTGTACTTCTGCTTCAGCCATTTAGGACTCCATTTTTAACTGCCATGTATCATTCTGTTTTATGCATTTACTATCATTTCTTTAATCAATGCCCTGTTATTAGACATTTGGATGTGATTTGTGATTTTTTATAAATAACATGATAATGAACATTTTGGCATATGTATGTTACATATTTTTCCAGTTATTTCCTTAAGATAAGTTCTAGAGGTGGATGTGGTGACTAAAGTGGGAGGATGCTTGAGCCCAAGAGTATGAGACCAACCTGGGCAACATAGCAAGACCTCATCTCTACAAAAATAAAAAAATTAGCTGGGTGTGGTGACATATGTTGGGAGTCCCAGTTACTTAGGAGGCTGAAGTGGGAGGATCACTTGAACCCGGGAATTTGAGGCTGCAGTGAGCCATGATCATGCATCTGCACTCCAGGCTGGGTAACAGAGTGAGACTCTGACTCAAAAAAAAAAAAAGATAAATTCTAGAAATCTAAATACTAGGTTAAAAGTTTGGCAGTTTTCTAGAGATTTTGATACCTATCTATAGTTTCATCCTTAAGGATGAAGGAAAGATATTAAAATATGAAAGATAAAAATCAAATAAAAGTCTTTGATTATTAAGTTTCATAAACATCTGAACTGCTAAATGAAAACATGAGTATTTTATTTTAAATCTGATTATTAAATCGTTTACACATACCCATACACACACACACACACACACACACACACACACAAACAGAGTTATGAGCTTAAGTCAGAGTCATTACATGTACAGATCAGCAAATGACATGATTTTCTGAAGAAGGTCAAGGATATTAAAATATTATCTCTTATTTTAATAAACCTTAGAAATTAAAAAATTAATAACAGTTATATTGAGATATAATTCATATGCCATAAATTCACCCTTTTAAAGTGTACAATTAAATAACTGTTGAACATTTAGAGTTGTGCAATCATCATCATTACCTACTTTCAGAACATTTTTATTTCATTCAAAAAGAAATTCTGGGGCAGGGCTCAATGGCTCACGCCTGTAATCCCAGCACTTTGGGAGGCGGAGGCAAAAGGATTGCCTGAGCCCAGTGGTTCAAGACCAGCCTGGAAAACTTGGTGAGACCTTGTCTCTACAATAAATTTTTAAAAATAGTCAAGCATGGTAGCACGCACCTATAGTTCTAGCTACTTGGAAGGCTGAGGCAGAAGGATTGCCGGAGCCCAGCAAGTCGAGGCTGCAGTGACCATGAACATGCCACTACACTCCTGCCTGGGCAACAGAGTGAGACTCCAACTCAAAAAAAAAAGAAACGCTGTTACTCCCCAGATCCTGGCAAATGCTAATCTGCTTGCTGTTTTTATGCATGTGCCTATTCCTGACACTTCATATAAGTGGAATTATTCAATGTGTGGCCTTTTGTGACTGGCTTCTTTCACTTGCTTTGCCTGTGTTGTAGCATGTTTCAGTACTTCATTCCATTTTATTGCCAAATAATATTTCACTCTTTGGCCATACCACACTCTGTTTACCAATTCATCAGTTTATTCTTCGGATGCCAATTAAAATCTTCGTGCCATCATACTTAAAATCCTTCAATAGCACCTCAGACTCTTAAGAAGATCTATGAAAGGTTCATCTTCATCTGGCCCTGATCTCTTTGGTCTGGTCTTCTGCCACACTCCCAGCACCCATCTCTCCCACTCTTCCATCACCACTCCAGTCTTAATAGAACTACTAGCGATGTCCTGCATTCTCACTGTTGTATAAACTCTCTCTGCTATCTGCAGTGCCCTTGCCCCCCTTATCTGTGTGGATGCCTTTTACTTGTTCTTTGCAATTCAGCTGTCAGGTACCTCCTCCTCCGGGAAACCCTGGCACACCAAAGTGTAAGCTGGGTGCAACACTCTCTACAACCTATTATACCTCCATCATAGCACGTGGTTCCACTGTTTTGTAATTGTGGGTTTTCCTGATTTCCACTAAATTGTGAGCTCACTGAATTCAGAAACTCACTGAATTCAGAAAGCACAACAAGTGGTTGACATTCTATTTGTGTTTTATTTATATATGTGGTCAAAATTACTTTGACTTTTTATAAACTAAATTAATCAATTTTGGGATTTTGCAACTATGTAAACATAAACTTTATTTAAAATGCACATGGAAGTTTTCTTATGTGTAATGCATTCATATATGTTTTTATATTAAAATTCTCAGGTACATATAAAGTAATACTCATTAAAATAAATCAGTATGTATATATAATCTTACTAAAGCTTTTAGGGTGTACATTGAACGTATAACTTATCAAATAGAAGACTTTTAAATGTAGAATAACAAGAGAAATTCAGAATGTGTACAAAAGGTGGTTCAGCATTGCATTTCTAATGATTTAAAACATTGAAGAGCAGTGCCTTGCTTACAATACTATAATAATCTTTGAAGCTTACTTGCATAAACTGTTTTTTAGACTGTTTTTACTGTTTTCTATGTGAATAAAAATTTGTTTAAGTAGGCCCAATTCTTGGTAATAGACTCCTAACCTATGTTACTTCTGACTTATAGGGTATCTTTGTTACTAGGGTTCAGCCTGATGGACCAGCATCAAACCTACTGCAGCCTGGTGATAAGATCCTTCAGGTAAGACAGACAAAAGAAATACATGCAAATTCTAACACTATAACATGCAACTGTGCTATTGAGTTAAATTACTCGAATTAAATGATTGAAAAATGAACCCTTTTTGCATTGCTTATTTGCCTTTATTGCTTTGGGGGTAAGAGTCAAGTCAAAAACAATTTAGTCTGATAGAACCCCACACCCTCAGCACCTTACACAGTACCTGGCACAAGGTAGGTGTCCTGCATGCTGTTGTTGAATTGAATGGAATTATTTACTAATATAAGAAATATAGTTATCAAGTACAAGTAAGAGTAATAAAGTGCCCAAATAGGGTATCTGCGTGACTTTAATGAGGGAGAAGGGACTGGCCCACATTTAATTTCTCAGTAGTAGGTGTATCACCTACTGCTGTGAAGCACATGGTTACATCTCCTACTCAGTTTAGCTTTTAGTATATAAGTTGACTTCTTAAAATGTATTGTCTTATGGAAAAAGACTTTCACTAATTTAAAGCTGTGCATATTAGAAAAGGGCCACCTCAGTGAACAGTTAAGCAAATATTTTGTATAACCTCGTTGTTTGGCTTTCTTTGTCCTTCTCTCAGAATTTTCTTCTCATATAAGCAGTACATAATCATTTTCTACATTCCAGGGAAAGGCTCTTAAGTATTTTCAATGTATTTAAGATTCAGTATTCTGCCTTAAAGCTTCTGAAATGTCTCACGACTTAAATAGGTGAAACTACCTGAAATTGCTGATAGATGACCATTTGTAGCAATTATAAAATGGTTCAACACAATATACTAAAGACTTAGGGGCACTGAAAGGACAGGACATGTGAGAAAGGAGCCTTAGATCCGCTCTACAAACACAGTTACAAGAATACAACGGTCCCCTCAACTAAGCTCTGAAGCGATCTCTTATTAACTGAGCTCTCTCAGAAAGTCTTCGAATAGTAAAAGTCACACACATATATATACATATATATTTTTATATATAAAGATTGCTTTAACATGTTATTCTCAGAAATGTTTTAAACGAATTAGCAAGATCATGATCAGATACCAAAGTTTTCAAAAGTCATAGTTCTCTGAAAAGACTGTGGTGGTATCACTGCAGAAACACCACCCCGCAGGCCTGAGTCCATTCCATGCAGCCAGAAGATGACGACAACAATGGGTTTCTTGAGGTAGAACACTGAAACAGAAAAGTCACATAAAATAATCTGAAATTTTTCTTTACCACTTTGTTATGGAACCTCTATTTTTTTGGACAGCCTAATTAGCCCTTTGATCTTAGACATTTTAGATCATGTCTATGGGCCTCAAACCTTTATGTGAAAAATGAACTGTAATCGATAATAGTATGTCTGAAATCCTTTACAGCTCAAAAATTCAACTGTTTGACAATTGTATAAATTGCAGGGAAATACAGCCAAGAATAAACGAACAATACAACTCTCTAACATTTGATAAATGCTGCTCATTAGTAAAGGAAATAACTAATTTTTTTCCTCCACTGAATTTCAAATAAATTATTTTGAATCTCAGAGTCTGGGAAGGAATGTAGCCAGTTAATCTCAGGTGTCTAACCTATTAGAATGCTAGACTGGGTAGAAAAGCATTCTCTAGCTTGAGCCAGGATGGGAGAATTCATTCATCCCTGACAGGGGTAGCAAAAGAAAAGATTTTTTTCTTCTGAGCAGATTCAGAAAAGACATGTATACTTAAGCAGCATAAAATCATTCACAGTCTATCTTGCAGATGAGAAAATAGGCAGTTAGTGTCTACTTGCAGGGCGTTAGAATGCTCTCTTCTGGCTAGGGGTTGTATGTGGAGACATGAGGGTTTAGTATTTCTAATCCCTAAGAGGTATATAATAACAGCAAAGTACACAGAGGAATGGATTCCTAAGGAGTAGGAAGGAATTTTAAACCAAATCCATCAAAGCCAAGGACACTGCAGAAGAGCTACACCTGGGATGTCTCTTGTCTCCTCAAATGACTATCAAGGATGCAACATTTTATTTTTTTGCTACAGATCTCATTTATATCTAGGTACCATAAAATCAAAGTTCACTTTCTTTCTTTTTTTTTTTTTTGAGTTGGAGTCTCACTCAGACTGGAGTGAGTGGCCGCTCCCAGCCACTGCAGCCTTAACCTACTGGGCTCCGGCTATCCTTCTGTCTCAGCCTTCCAAGTAGCTGGAACTACAGGCGTGTGCTAGCACGCCAGGCTAATTTTTTTGATTTGTTGTAGAGATGAGATCTCGCCAAGATGCCCAGGCGGGTCTCGAACCCACGGGCTCAGGCAATCCATTCACCTCAGCCTCCCAAAGCGCTGGGATTACAGGCTAAGCCACCAAGCCCGGCTTAAAGTTCACTTTCATTAAAAGAAAAAAGCACATAGACCTTAAGCAAATAAATTTCTGTATTTGAGGTTTCATTCATACTAATTAAAAAGCACAAGCAGCCAATTATACTTCTGAAAGAAATGAGAATGGCTAATTCTGAACAGGATTTGTTGTCAATACCAGATACTAAGAGGGAAAGCTATATTTTTATTTCTTTATAATAATATTGTCTCAGTTTAAAGAATACTGGGGGGAAATGGGTTAATAGCATTGAGCTATCTATTGCTCTGTCTACCAGCATCATGTTTTCATTGGAGAAAAATTATTTACAAGGCTCAATGACATTCTCAAGGCTTACCTGAAAAAGCAGGTAAAGGAAGTAAAAAACAACAATGGGGTCCCCCTAAGTGACCAAAGTTACTAGATTTGATCTAACCTGATAGCAAATTGTTAATTGTTAAAGAGATATATGATAGCAAAAACGATGTACTTTTCCCAAACCACCTCCCTCTAGCCCAGAATTTATTAGATAAAGTATCTTTCTTTCTCTGTAGCTCTGTTTATTCACCACTTTTCTTATTCTGCTATGGTATTATGAACATGTCATTTGAGCTACATGAAGATGTGTGCAATAAGGGATGATGTTAATTAAAACATATTCACATGATTTTTCTGTCATTTTACTATTCATTTACCCAGAATAGACACACTATAATTAATGAGCACATTCAAATGATTTACCACGCTATTTTACTCTAAGACAGTGTGTTAAATGGAAAGAACAACGCCATAGAAGAACTGACCCTTCACAAACTTACCTTCTGTGAAGTTGAATTTTGTAAGAGTGAGAAAAAGAAAAAAATTGAAAGCATGTGGATCATAAAAATATGTTGTTAGAGCCAGGCATGGTGGCTCACACTTGTAATCCCAGCACTTTAGGAGGCTGAGGTGGGAAGATTGCTTGAGCCCAGGAGTTTTAGACTATGGAGAGCCATGATTGTGCTCCTGCACTCTGCCTGGATAGCAGAGTAAAACCCTAACTCAAAAAATATATATATATATTGTTAGATAGAGCCATGTGAATTTGCCAATATTTGAAATAAAATTTTGTTAATTTATCATTAATTTCCTTTTTCTAATGCTCTTTCCAGTTAAAAATTCATCTAATTCATTATATGTTTTATGATTTGAAATATAGCTGAATACAAAAAAAATCTATTAATTATAGATAATCTGTTGAAAAGATGAATAGACCAGGATAATAGAATATATTTTACTTGTTAGTTAACAACATGATTCACAGTTGTATCCTGAATATCACTTCTAAGTATTCAAAGGAGGGCTCAAAAAAGCCCCGAAATTTGTTTGTTAAAAATTGTGTATTTATTCTCACATGTTTAAACTTTAACCTTTGATACAATGCACCTATCGAGACGCTTTTCTCACTGCTCTAAACAGTTTTGAATTCATCAATTTCAATGCCTTTAGTGATTCTGCTGTGTTTTGTTTTGCCTCTTCCACACTGGCAAACCGTTTCCCTTTGAGAATTTTTTCCATGGGAAACAAAAAACTTTGCTCGGGATGAGATCAGTAAACAGGGAGGGTGGGGCACAAGGGTCATGTCACATTTGATCAAAAACTGCTGAACACTCAGTGTAGTTTGGGCAGGTTGTTCATGCAAATCACCCATTGTGAAATGGGCAAACACATCGGAAGAATCTCAAAAAAAAAATCATGGAAGCCAAACGCAGCCTCTCACAATGACGGGAGCTGACACACTGACGCTGACAGGATCCTACAACACTTACTTAGTGGGGGAAGCCTGTACTGCAAGGGACCTGCCATCCAAAAAATAAATTTGGCTCTTGTGGGGTCCCCTTGTATAGTGTTGTTATATCATGATAGTCAGCCCACCTCCCCTTCATTTACCTCCTCTTGCGCCAAACATAAGCCCAACTTCTGCCAGAGAAGAGAAAGTAAAGGATTTTTAGAGAACTAGTTAATGACATGCAGATTTTGCTGGTAACCAAAACAGATTTTTTTCTTTTCTTTTCTTTTCTTTTTTGAGTTGGAGTCTCACTCTGTTGCCCAGGATGGAGTGCAGTGGCACACTCAACAGCCACCGCAGCCTCAACCTGCTGGGCTTAGGTGATCCTTCCACCTCAGCCTTCCAGGTAGCTGGAATTATAGGCACGCACCACTATGCTTAGATAATTTTTTATTTATTGTACAGATGAGGTCTCACCAAGTTTCCCAGGCTGGTCTCGAACCCCTGGTCTCAGGCAATCCTCTCGCCATGGCCTCTCAAAGTGCTGGGATTATAGACGTGAGCCAACGCACCCAGCCAGATTTTTTTCCAATAGAAGGCATATAAATATGATACCCAACTGAAGATAATTTATTGACTCTTTTACCTTACCATTATTTTAAGGATTTTGGAATTTGTAATCCAAAGTGTACACCTGGTCTATGGCAAGATACTGAAGTAGAATAATCAATGAGACAATAGTTCAAACAAGACCAATCTTTCCCTGTATTTTTTCTAGTCTTACAAACCCTTGGCCCTACAATTCATGCAGACAGTTCAAGAAACACTCTAAACAAACAAATCTATCAACACATACTTGGACTACTAGCCTGTTATTACTGTACTTTTCTTACTTTTTAA